CAATACCCAAGCATGAGTACTCAAAGTCGTACTCAGAGTACTTGTTACTCACTCATGAGTACTCATGTGAGTACTCAGTGAGTAAAAAAATGTATGAGTACGTATGAGTACTCGTCCGGTTTTTCTATCAGAGTACTTTTTGAGTACTCACACTTGAGTACATTCACTAGGGATGGCAATTCTGACACGAAACCGAACAAATTTCTCAATGAATCATTATTCACCTTTAATGATGGCCCTCGTGAAAATATTCTTGTATGTTCTGTGAATGTATTGAAATGATTAAACTGAACATGCATCAAAAATCGTAATGAATATTCATAATAACTTTGACCAATCACATATCACTTGGCCTGCTATTGTAAGCGGGTATGACAAGAACAATATTGATGTTATGCACAAAAAGCCATATGACCAATATTCTAATCTCTATTTTTTAATACAAATGAGAAAAAACTTCCTCTTTAACACATACGATGAGTGTCTGTATGTGAAACAGAAGGCAAGAGGAACATGGCAGCGGTTATCATAAAAGGAGCGTAGATGTTGTCTAAACTTTAAAAGAACGTTTTGATATTAACACAGAGTGGGAAACAAAAAGAGTTTAGATAAAAGTAAAATATTGGGACCTCGGAGATTGCACTGATAACGACTTGTTCCAGTTTAATGGTACAACTTATAACCCAAGTATAAAAAAATATCTAGTGTCGCGCGGTGTATGTAGATAAGAGATTTTTCCTCGATTGTAGATATTTGGTAAGGACAGTGGAAGTCTAGTAATCGGGTGTTTGATAGATTTCTCCGCACTTGCAACTATCGATTTTACTATTGCTAGTCGCACATTCATACGCATCTAGTTAAAAGTCTTTTTTCCGACTGGTGATCTACACGATAAGTGGCTGTGCATCAATTAAAGACGAAGTGTATCTAGATCTTCCTCATATGTGATTTTTGCCTGGGAAGTAGAAGTCTAGATTTTGTATTTGAGGATATATACATGACGAAGAATGTAGCTGTAGCCACAAAATTTCCTTTTTCAAAACTAAATCATCAATTGTATCTTCTAGATTCTGTTTTTCTCTGATTTTGTATTTTTGGCGTCTTTCTTTGCATCTCTTGTTTTCTCCTCTCATTGAATTGCTGCCTCTGTTGTGTCCGTTGCTCTTTTCGTTGCCAATGTTCGAGAGGTATTGTGCTATTAAATCTTTTAAAGCGATGCGATAAACCGTAGAATTTCCATAGATCTACGAATGACAATTTATTCAAATCTGAATTCATCCAAGTTAAACGGTATTCTGATTCAGCAGATAAACGAACAACATTTGGCAATGCAGCTAGCGATCGTATTTGATCCGAAAGAAAATAATGCACATCCCTATCATGATCAATTATCAAAGTATTCAACATCGGTAGCTGTAATTTATTTCGTATTATTTCAATAACTGCACTTAACTGATGTCTCATGTGCCTATTATATATCAGTTTTAAGTATTGTAATTGCTCTTGTTGTTCGCGTAATATTGTGCATACTTGGTCAGAATTTATATCGATTAATGTTAATGCTTGAACTGATCCAAAGCGCTTTAAATAAAATCGATATTCTATCCAATTACTAGTTAATTTCATTGATTTCAATTGTGCTGAAAAAATTCGAGATTGGATAAATGAACAAAAATAATTAAGTGATGAATTAGTTGTTAAATCCGCATGTAGAAACAAATGTTTATCACCGAGTATTCGATTGATGAATAGATTTAAATTGTAAAAAGTGCAAAATAGTTCGATAACATGAAAATATTCGAAGAGAAGAAGCAGAACGTCGCTTGGTAAATCATCAAATGTTGTGATTGTTGATTGACCTTAAATAGCAGAATATAATAATCATGACTTCTATAAAAAAGCTAGAAATTTTGACAAACTTGGGTTTTGCTTTTCTTTTGATATCATTTTAAACGCGTTTCGTGCAATTTCATATGAAATATATGGTTCTAAACCGCGTTGAATTAACGCTTGCTGCATTTGATGAAACAAAGACTTGAACATGGTGTTAAGCAATAACAGAAGAACTAAATGTTAATTGAAGAAGTATGTATGATAGACAAATAGGCGTGTAACATGAGAAAACTATCTCCAAAATGGCTGGCCGGACGGGTACGAACTTTAGGGCCTGAGGGTTTCAAGTCATGCTCTTTCTTTCAGTAAGCGGAAATTTGCTTTAAAAACCGTCAGAAGTAGGGTTTCTGGAAAGCCAGGGTTTTTGAGCTACAGATTTTGAATAAAATGAGTTTTTACGAAGATACAGCGACAGAAAACTTTTTGGAATATGATATTCGAATTCGGGGTTGAAAGATGGATTAAAAAAAAAATCAAATCTCTAACTCAAACTTCCGATTTTTAAAACCAATTTTAGTTTTTAAAAAAGAGAGCTTTTTTAAAACCTCTATAACGCAGCTCAGATAGGTGATAGAGGGCTCGTTCAAACGGAATTGGAAAGAGTATTAAAAAGTGTACGAAGGTAGGAGTTAACTCCTACCTTTGTACACTTTTTAATACTCTTTCCAATTCTGTTTGAACGCGCCCTCTATCACCAATCTGAGCTGCGTTATAGAGGTTTTAAAAACCTCCCTTTTTTAAAAATTAAAATTGGTTTTAAAAATCGGAAGTTTGAGTTAGAGATTTAATTCTTTTTTTTAATCCATCTTTCAACCCCGAATTCGAATATCATATTCCAAAAAGTTTTCTGTCGCTGTGTCTTCATAAAAACGCATTTTATTCAAAATCCGTAGCTCAAAAACCCTGGCTTTCTAGAAACCCTACTTCTGACGGTTTTCAGAGCAAATTTCCGCTTACTGAAAGAAAGAGCATGACTTGAAACCCTCAGGCCCCAAGTTTTCTACCTAGCGCGCAACTAGAGCAGGAGTGAGCCTAGACCAACTTTCTCATGTTAGACGCCTATTCTAAAGAAAATGCGCCAATGTACGGAAAAAATATTTTTGACAAGCTTGGTGCAGTTAATGTTAAGCTGACACTCATTACCAAAAGCAAAATTTAATTCTTTCTTACAAACTCAATGTGTCGTGTTAGTTACTTTCGGCAGTCAAAAACTAAACTGATACGAGAAATACAACTTCATTTTATCTCAGATTAGTAACAAAACAAATACTTGCGTGTAACTTAGTGACGTTATTTCACCGTCAGGTGAAATAAAATGTGACTTATGACTGTTGGATCAAAAAATGAGTAAGTAAATGAAAAGAAAATTGTGTATAAATAACAGAACGCGAAAAAGGCAAGATATTTTCTTTTCATTTCTTCGCGTTGACGCACCTATGTGGAAAAAAAATTATGCCGTTTTCTTTTATCTCTAAATAATAACTTCAAAAAATGGCCGATTCGAACTAGAGAAAAATATTCTACAGCTTGAAACGGTGACGAAAAAAGATTTTGAGAATAGATATAGTCCATCTTCGGAAATGTTTTTATGAGTGCAGTGACTTATTAAATGTAAAAACAGCATTCATTTTTTAAGCGATTATCCGTAATGAGCGTCTTTCTAAAAAGTATATTTTGGCTACAATTTTTTGCGAATGGTGCATTTTGTTTTTCAAACTCATAGTCATGTTACTAGAGTGAAAAGTATCAATCTGATTTAACGTCGTTAAGATTAGGGATCGCAATCAGACTTGGTGATAATTAGTCGTACAACTTCGTTAGAAGAGCAATGCAGAAGAAACCTCTTTCAGTTTTAATGGTAGGAAGGATGAAAGGTTCAAGAAATAGTCTCAGAAACGCTTCCAACTTTGTCCTACACGGAATAGCGTCTGAAATCGTGCAGGATTCTACTTCTTCTGTCGAGATCAATTCTGCATGTGCGTAAAAAGATTTCAGACCTAAAGATTGAGGTTTGTCGGAGTACAACAAATTTTACATCCCGCTTTACTGCTAAGCCTTGATTTTTCACCCATTCTTAGAGTGAAATTTGATGGACTCAGCAAAACTCAAGCTTTAGATCTCAGAATGTTTTTATGCACATAACTTGACATGCTCTACAAGACAGACAGATTTAAATTTTCATTATATTAGACTTTAAGATGGGTCTGCGGAGACTAGTTTTTGAAAGCTTCGCTCGAAAGGATCATATGAGAACAAACGGATATCAGATTCGTGATCAGCATCCAGAATTACGTATAACCATATACGTTTCAAGGTAAAAGTGAGAAATCATTTGCTTCCCTTGAAGTCGTCCAAAAGTAAAACAAAGAGGCCATTACATAGGACAAGAACTCCATACACGTTGAACTTATAATATAACTAAAACGTATTATTTTTCTTACCAACAATACTTACCAAATTGTTTAATTCTTTTTCCAATACTTCGATCAAAATATTTGATGAACGATGCATCCCATTCTTTCTTTTTATCTATCAAATTCATTTGATATATATCTAATGAATCACTTAATAATAGTGATTGAATATCTTTAATGTATCTCGTTGCTCAACTTCTTATTTTTTCTCTATGTTGAGTATTTGTTTGAAATAATGTTATTATCAACAAAACAATCTTCTTCTTCATTTTCAGAACCGTCTGAATTTCAGTCTTTTTCACTAAGTTTTTGAAACTGTTTAGAAAAACAAATATTGCCACGAAACTCGGCATAGTCGATTACCCATGGCGCATCTTTAAGACTACCAATAGTCACCGGGTGCCAGTGCTGGGACCCGTAGGAAATCTGATACAAGGCCCGAACCGCCGAAAATCAAGGTCTCACTTTACCCCCATTTTGAAGAGGACATCCGAGGCTATCAGTCCATGAGAAAAAAGGAATACAATCCTATGGTGTTTTGACGCCGATAATAGAAAAGTGTTTTTCAAATCTAGAAAACAAAGTAGTGGTAGTTTGCTAACCCGTGTTTTGTGATACTTCTAGGTACACACTATCGATAGATGATAAGAAAAACCCTAGGTGTTTACCTTTTGTTTCAGTCAAATTTTTTCACAAAAACGGTACTAGTTTTACCAGAATCACTCATATACACTCACTTACAGTAGCTATAATTTTCCAATAGCGCTTTGCTTAATTCCTATTATTCACTCATTTATAAAAGAAAGAAATAAACGCTGATTTCGATACTGGAGATGGTAACCGCGGTTATGGTGGTTTTCGACCGGATGCATGCCGAGAACGGAAGAGAGCAACAATATCATCTCAAATTATGGCAAATAAACAAAGAGAACAAGCTGCAGATGGATAAAGAATATCCCGATTTAAAACCAAACTAACGCGATGGATAGAGAAAATCGAATGGTCATACTAAAGTGTTCCATCAACTTATCATGATAATGCAACTGCTTATTTCACACACACATAAATATTGCAATATGCTTATCAGTGATGATTGACTGATAGAGTAGTTGATGACATCTGTAGATGTCTTTTTTTCGTTACACACGAGTTGCCATTCACGTCTAATAAAAAGTTTTAAAACCTGAAGAGTTTCTCAAACTTAAAACTGAATAAAAATGAATGATATGGATCAAGCAAAAAATGATTTTCTACGATTGTGGAGAAAAAGTTATAGTGAAGATACAGAGCAACCAAAATATGCTTATGAATTTGAGAAGTGCTTTCGACCATCAAAAACTATTTTGTGGTGCACGAGGTTAGATTCACTTGAAGACTTACTCTGCGGAGTCCGCCGTCCTTTGAATTATAATAATTTATATGCACTTCGTTTTATCATTAAATATAGATATCTACAACTACAGGAAGAATATCACCAATATCTAAAAAAGATGGACAAACATGGTATCATTATCTATCGAATACGATATATGTCCATGAAGCGTTACAATTTTTAAAACCCAAAATCGGAGAACTCTCTTACACAGATGCACTATTACACGCTTTTTTAAAAAGAAAAAGCGTTGTTCAGTATGCTCATATAGATGCTCATAATAATAGACATGTGGTGCCAGTAGAGCTTGAGATTCGAGTCGAACCAAGAAAAATGAGCTTACCCTATGCTGATGTTAGGCAATTAAGTTTTTATTGTGCGGACGAAGAAGTATTCATTATGATGGGTACCATATTTCAAGTGAATGATGTACATTATTCTGACAGTGAGAATATATGGATAATTAGACTTTCACTTTGTGGAGAAGATGATCCTCGGAGTCTTAAAGATATGATTGATTATATAAAATATGAAATTAAAGATACAGTAGATTTAATTACGTTAGCTGATTTTTTCATTAAAATTGGAGAATATTATATGGCAAAAGAATATTATCGAAAATATGAAAATCAACTATCAATTAATGATCCTAACATGAAACGTGTTTGGCAAGGTTTATCAATCATTGCTGATATTCAAGGAAATTATTTTATATCAATGGAAGATTATTCAAAAGCACATGTATGTTCCAGTGAACAATTCGATATATGTTGAAATTTACCAAGTCATCATCCACAAGTCGGAAAATGTTATGCAAATATTGCAAATTTATATGAACTGCAAGGAAAAAACAATTTGGCTTTGGAAAATTATGAAAAGGTATATAAAATTTTTACACAATCACTTCCTGCTTATCACCCAGACACAACTAAAGTCGAGCAATCAATTGAAAACTTATCAACTCGTAAATTATGAATAATTTCAATCAACATTTCAACTTACGCGATTAAAATTAAAACGCTTCATTGCTTTGACAGTCTCAACCCATCTTAAAGATAAATAAATATAAAATGACTTTTCTTCTTTAGAAAAAAAATCGACAGAAGAAATAGAGTAAATGTACTTTTGATCACCAAAGAAAGATACTTTTGATCACCAAATTTTCCAGCATCACATTTTTATACATATAAACATATAAATTTTAACAAAGACAATATTTTCACAGTTTTATTTACATTTATTTACAAATTTAA